ATCCTTGGATGACCAACTCCTAAGGATGGAATGCCGAGTGCTTTTCAGAACCCCTAATGTCAGGGCACAGGGTAAATAACAGTCGAATCCTGCGGTTGCACAGAAACCGGGATTCTTATAACACATACTTTCAACAAAAGACTGTTGGCGCCTGACATTATGCAGATTTTTGACTCGGTGAGCAAGCCGGCAACAGGCGTGCGTAACTGGGTGTCCACACGCGCGAGCTTTACACGTGTACTCCTGACGACCGGTATTCCGTTCAGCAAGTCTGGACCTTGGAGATTTTGGGATTTTTGGCCATTTTTGATCATTTTTGGGACTTTTGGCCTATTTTTGGGTCCTCCGATCAAAACCTCGGACACGGCCCAGCCAAGCTACCGCTGATCCGACCATCATCACCGAGCTCCAATCCACTCACGGCATAGAAACCATCACCCTTGCCGGCTACTGGTTTGGCGGCAAAATCACAGTCCTCGCTGGCAGCGACCCAACCCTCACCCCCTCCCTCCGCTCCATCGTCATCGCCCACCCGGCGCCCAGACTCGCGTCCGCTTTTGCTGCCCCCTCCGCGTCCCGCTGCTCTTCCTAAACACAGAGCTCGACACCACATTCACCCCCGCCGACCGCGCGGCAGCCTTTGCCGCATTGGAGAAGAACATGGCCGAGGGGTTTGCGTTTGACGTTGTTGATTTTGAGGGTGTCAAGCATGGGTTTGCAACCTGCAGGGATGTGACTGAGGAGAGGAGTCTTGAGGATATGCGGGATGTCTTTTCCAAGAGTTTGGAGTGGATTGCGATGTTTGCGAAGGAGTGAACTTTGGCGTCCTGCGTCGTCTTCCTCATCAGTTCTTCTTCCATGGTTGCCCAGTGCCCACTCTTTTTACTCTTGTATTTTGTTTTCTTTCTATGTAGTAAGAATAAAATGGTGTGGGATGCTGGTTCTCGCACAACCCTGCCTGTGCGTCACCGAATCCTGTGCTGCCGGGGTGGACAAGCTTTTGAGAGGACCTGTCCCTTCTGAGCTGGAAAGCAAGAGTGCTGCGGTCCTGGGAATCGGATGATCGTTGCTGGAAGCTACTTACTCCTCAGTGGTGGGCCGACAAGGCTTTCGATTCGACAAGCGGGGAGAGGATGATGGCGATATTTTAGCGCGGCCTTCCCGTCGGTTTTTCCACGCGGGGGACGTCTGAAGTCAGTGGCCCGGGTTTGCAACGACTGGGTTTTTGCAGGCTTCTCTGCCCCCTTCCCCTTCCCTCTTCATCCCCTTCTTCTCACAGGTGGTCGCGTGAGGTGAGGTGGGGAAGGGGGGGCGCGCGGATACCAGGAATCGAGGTGCGTGATGTTAGCCCCAAGCATACTCAGACCACTTCCTTCTGATTGATCCAAGGCAACAACACCGGGCAACTTCGGATTGTAATGTTGCCAGAATGTCATGGTTTGGCAGGGGAGTTTCGTATACATAGGCGGCCGACATGCGCTTGAAATGAAACAAATTTGAAATCTTCGACGATTGATTGATCTGACGCTACATCACAATGCAACATCTGACAAAATGTACAGCAGCCGGGACCCGAACCCTTGCCGGTCACTAATTAGACAATTGAAGGCAAGCGTGTTAACTACAACACTATGGTTGGTTGGCTGGGGGGGACACGGTACTTGTATAGTAAATTATTCAAGTTTAACGCGGCTCTGGATTTCGAGCGTCGTCGGTGACCGAAGCGGCAGGCTAAATGTACAGATCTGCGTCTATTCATAGAATTCCCTCGAATCTGTTCATTAAGCTCCTTTCCTCCAAACCTTTCCTGTGGGATCCCATCCCGCTGCAAGCCGGGAGACACACTTCAAACCAGCCCCCTCCTCGCCCCAGTATCACAAAAAAAAGCATAGCGCATTTTACATCTGTTTCGTACAAAAAAAAATAGGCGGCATGTCTCCCAAAAAGGGGGAGGGGTCGGAGATTGAGGGCGGCGTAATGAGGATGTCAGGCAGACGGGGTTCCTTTTGGGTTGAGTGACTTGTGGAATAGTTTATCCAGGAGGGGAGGAAAGGACTCGGGGTCCGAGAGCGGTGTACCATGGCTCGGTTTCCGGAGCCATGGTAAGCCTCAAAAAACATTTTTTGAGTACGGTCAAAACGTGGAATGGGTATGCAACCATAGTGTAGTGGTTAACATGCTCGCCTTCCATAACGTGGTCAGCGGGCGGCCCAGTTCGAGCCCCGGAGGTTGCAATTAATATTAAACTGGGGGACAAAATGCTCCGATCATGGTGTGCAGGTCAACCTTGTTTGCGGATTTGAACTATGGTCTATTCCTCGGATGGTACCCAACGTAACGTTCGGGAAGAGACAAGGCGGCGACGATGTTAAAGATGTGCAAGAATCGGTGACGACTCAGGCTGGCCGTTGCCTGGTCATGGAATGGGATGGCGTGTTCTATTTGCGGAGTTGAACCAAAATATCCCCTTTGATGGTACGTAACGTCGTAACGTTCGGGAAGAGGGAAGGCGGCGACGACGTTTTGGATGTGGAATGATGATGACTCAGGCGGGCCATTCGGCGACGTTCACGATTCACACCATCCAACCGGACGCCCTCCCCAACCGAGACCCGTAGGCGAATGGCGCCGCGGAACCATCAAACGAGCGACCCTGAGCAAACGATCACTCAAACGACAAGCAAATTGGAAGGGCCACTGGCAACATGCTGTCCGCCTCCTCTCCCCCACAAGCACAGCAGAATGAACCGAACGCGGATCATGAAGTTATTGCCAAACGTGCGCCCCGATCTGCCCCGATTCCTTCGTTTGCCAGTTGCACCCAGAAGCAACGTAGCGGGAAAGCTTGAAAGTAAGTTAAATC